AGTCAATGCCATCTCCTTACCCTACTTACTCTTCAAATAAAGACAATTGGAAGTTCATAGTACATATTACAACTGTCCAGGGTAAAATCAGAAATAAAATTATACCTTTTCCAAAATCTCAACAGTTCTAACATTTTTCAAAAGTCAAATCCAAATCTCTTCTGAGAAACAAGGCAAAAACTAAGCTGTGAACCTCTGTAAAAAATCAGAAACTACTCACATAATCCAAAGATACGATGGCAAAGGATAAAGATTCCCATTCCAATGGGAAAAAATAGAAACATAGAAAAGAATCAGAACAAAGCATGATGGAAACCCAGCATGATAAACAGCAGCTGTCCTTATTTACCATGGTGTTTAACTTCATGAAGAAAATCCCCAGAGAATTCCATAACATTACTTTTTAAAAATTGGACTCTTTTTTTTTGGTGTCCCAGATGGAACCCAGGCCCTCAAACATGGTAATGAGCTGCACCCTTACTACCAAAAGTTCGTTTAAACATGAACAGTTTGATTCTGTTTTCCACAAATACTTAAGCCTTGATGTTTTCAAAGCATTACATATTTAAATAAAACAATTGTGCTGTTTTGCTGAGTGATAATTTTAAAATTAATTTTATTGGTACATTTTAGGTATACAATATAATGACATTATTGTTGCAGATTTTTAACTCTATATTATCTCTCTCTCTCTCTCTCTTTTTTTTTTGGTAACAGGGATCTAACTCGGGTCCTTGAGACTGCAATGCAGGCGGTGGAACCACTGAGCTAAATCCCGGGCCTATATTATATATCTTGATTCTTATTTTTTCTCCATTTCCCTGACCTCCCTTAAACCCATCCACCCCTACCTATTTACAAAGACTTTGTTTCCATTTTAAAATTTTCTCTTATTAATTTCATTCCCTTCTTCCTTTCCCCTATCCCTCCTCCCTTTTGCACCATTTTTTCCTATTTCACATTATCTATTACACATTCTGATCTTTATTTACACTTTCAGTTTCTCATACCAGAGAAACTATTCAGTATTTACATGTGTGTGTCCTATTTATTTCACTTGAGTACTGCCTCAATGTGCATCCATTTAGCTATAAATGCCTCTAATTTCTAATTTTGTATGGCTGAGTAGTCCTCCATTTTATTAAAGAAATATATTTTCTATATCCATTCACCAGTTGATGGGCAATTGGGCTGTTTCCATGTTTTAGCTATTACAGACTGTGCCACTATGAACATGAGTGTGCATATATCTCTGTGGTATGAGTCTTTTAATCCTTTTGGGAAGATACCCAGCAGTGGAATAGCTGGATCAAATGGGACCTCTAGTCCTAGTTCTTTGAGGTATCTCCAT